GTCACACTTAGAATGAGTCATAAAGAAAGCCTTGCACCACCTCTTTGGTTCTATGCTTGCAAGTGCATCATGTCTTGATTGTGTCAAACCTTTTACGTGGTCCATGTTATCATTGAAATCCTCTTCATAAGTAGACCTCGTTGTAACCCAAAATTGCTAATTCTTTTCATCACCTCTATTATTATTGTCTTTGGCCCAACTTGCATTTATATACCTAGCACAATATCTATGCTCGGCTTTAGGCAAAACTAAACATACAACTGCTAAAATGCCCTATAAAACATATAACTGTTGACGACCACTTAAGATTTCAAAATAATGAAAAATTAAGTGTAAAAATATAAAAAAGAGGGAGTCGTCACTTGTCCAAATTATAAGGTGGGACAAATCTCCTAAAATAAGTCTGCGCAAAGATCGAGATTCGAGGGTTTGGTTAGAAGTGAAAAAGGGCATATGCGCACCTTACAACCCTCCGTTTAAACACAGTTGCATATTTTAAAATTGGGGTTTTAATTCAATTTATTCATCATGTTTATGCTTAAATCTTAGTTGGCAAAACTTAAGAAAAAAGGTAAACCAAATTGAAAACATTTCTTTTTCTAATTTTTTTTTTACTAAAATGGACAAAATTAAGAACATGCATGCATCATAAGCATAAATAAAAATTAAAGGGACTAATTTGATTAAATTCAAAAACATGAAGGACTGATTTGATTAGATTCAAAACACAAAGGACTGACTTGATTAAATTCACAAACATAGAAGACTGATTTGAAAAGATTTGAAACCTAGGACTAAATTGCTTAATCATGAAAGTTTTGAGTGAAATTGAAATAAAGAAAGATAATTTTGACTTTAGAAAAAGATTAAAGAAAATAGAGAATTGAAGCTAATTAATTAAGATAATTAAATTAATTAAATAATTGATTCAACATTAATTAAACTAATTAAAATTAATTAATTATATTTATCAACCTCCCATAATCAAGATAATTAAATAAATTTAATTACCTCAAATTAAAGCCAATAAAAATAATTAATTTACTTTAATTAAAATTAATTAATGTTATTAATCACACATCTAAACTAATTATCCTAATCAATTAATTATTTTATTTATTATTTTTATTTTATTTATTTATTTATTTATTATTGTCATTATTTTTTTTTTTTAGTGGATTGGATCGAATCCACTTAACCCAAAAACACAACCCGTCAACCAAAACAAGTGAAATCAGATCAAACATGGAAGAAGACATTTAAAATTAGGGTTCATATTCATTTCAAACAAAAAAAATTTTCTTTTGCAGAAATCACGTATTCAATTTCAAATTCAACACATATTAGTTACATACTAGTAAAATCTATCATTCATTCATCAACAACAACATAACATCATACATCAACAAACATAGAAATCTAAAAGTGAAAATTCCAGAAAAAAGACAACGGATCCAGTTTCAAACAGAGGAACCCCACCCACGGGATCAAGCTTTGTTCGTCACCTTCACCACCATTTCCTGAAATTCCTCAGTTTCAGAAAATTACCGAAAGAGCTAAACCTCTATCTGCCACCAGTGACTCAAGGATGCCTCCAACAGAATGCTCTTCCTTTTACCAACGTTCTCAACACACAAACACCAAACAACAAGCACAGAAAAACAAACCCCTCTTTCTCCGAAATCCAACCAACAAAAACCCCCCCTCCTTACTCTGCTTTTGCTCTATATATATACCCAAATGATAAAATAAAATAAAAATGAAATAAATAAAAAAAAAGGCCTTGCTCTGTCAATCACTAATGGTGCCAATTTTGTCTGGTATTGTTGTTTTTTCTGTAGGTGAGGCAAGGGTATGGCTATAGGAGCAAGAGTGCAGAGGCAGGGGGATTGGGGCGCAGGCTCGGTGCAGCAGCAAGGGGCCTAGAGGGGTGCGGATGGGGCTGCAACAAGCAAGGGCCGTAGGGAGGTATGATGGCCAGTTATGGCTTGGGCGTGCAGGAGGCATGATTGTCGGTGTGCAAAGTGCAGGAGATCTGGTGCAAAGTAAGGGGATCTGGTGCAAAGTAAGGGGATCTAGTGCAGAGAGCAAGGTTGGTGTAAAGCCAGGCTAGTGCAGGAGCAAAGGGCGCAGAGCAGGGCTGGTGCAGGAGCAAAGGGCGCAGAGCAGGGCTGGTGCAGGAGCAAAGGGCGCAGAGCAGGGCTGGTGCAGGAGCAAGGCTGGTTCGCAGTAGCAGAGGATCTAGGCTGGGCGCAGGAGTGCAAGGTTGGGCGCGGGAGTGCACGGCTGGCGCAGAGGTGTTGTGAGCATGGAGGAGCATGGCTGGTTCGGGTGCGAGGGAGAAGAAGGTTATGGAGAGAGAGAGAACGAAGACTTTTAACTTTTTTTTTTTTTTTTTGGAGATTGGGTTTTTGGGTAGTTGTGGATTTGGGCTTGGGTTTTGGGTTTTTTGGGTAATTGGGTTTGATTTTGGGTTTTGGTTTTAATGGGCTAGATTTATAGCTTAAAGGATTTCATCCCCCAACTTTTGATTTCTTCAATTGAGTCCTTTCTTTCTTCTTCTTCCACGTTTTCGCGAAATTTCCCTTTGTTTGCAAACCTAACAGTGAAAGTAAAAAAACAAGCATGTTAATTAAGATAAAAACTAAAATAAAAATAAAAATTTCAATTTAAAAATTTTGAGTTATGACAATAACAATAGATAAATACACTACCAACAAGATTTAAGAACGACTAAGAAAAAATGTAAAAACAAAATATTTAAGAATAAATGATTAAAAATGGAAGGTCCATAATACTACCAACACACCAAATCCAATGAGATACAATAAAGAATAAGTGATAAAGAATAATAAAAAAAAAGTAATAAATTAAATAAATTAAGAAAACAAAAGTAAAGATATCATGTGCAATTGAGACAAAAAGTATAAATCAAAAACAAATTTAAAAATCATGAAATTATTAAGTAATTCAGCAACTCATATAAAACCACATAGCGATGCCTATATACTTTTGAATCCACACACAAATGTAAAGAAAAGTTGTTTAAGAAACCAAATCAAGTAGTAGAAGCCTCAAATTGACTTTTGAGGTCCTCAAAAGTCCTATCCTCAAAAGTCCTTTTCCATTGACACACTTACAAACAAGAGTTTTAGGCTTTCTATATTAAATAGGTGTTGAATAATCAAAGATGGGAAAGGAGATTGTCGGAAAAGGAGTTTTGTGAGACTCACCTAACCTGTGGAGGGAAAGATCCTACCACAACATGCCATATTGGAAAATATCTATTTACTATCAGCATTATGTCCAGTTAGCGTGCCACATATTGAGAAGCGTCACGGTTCACAACAACGTCATGTTAGAATTAACA